GCCACTTTTCAAGTGCCAGTTTACAAAAATGTCACACTTTTGAAATCTTTACAAAAATGCCACTTTTTCAAAATTATTTTTCTTTATATTATTTATGTTTGGGTTAATTATGTTCTATTAGGGTTTAGTTTTGAGTGTTTAGGGGGTTTTAGGTGTCAAAACATTTTTTAGGGTTTAGAATTTTAAGATATAGGTTTTATAAATCTATAATTAGTAGCATTTTTGTAAATGGACACCCCTAAGTGACATTTTTGCAAATGTGCACACAAGAAATGACATTTTTGTAATTGCCCCGTATATATATGTGTTATCTTAAAACCAAATAATTTATAATATATTTATGAAATATTTAGATAAGTCTTATGTTAATGACTTGGCTATTTCCGTAATCATATATTTTGTGGAAGTTTTCCTATAATATCAGCCTTTCTTTCTAGTTTGGCTTTTCGATAGCTTCTTCCATGCACGGTGTTTAGGTATTCTACTCGATGTCCTCTACGATGGTAATTCACAAATACCTTCCATAGTGGTAAAAATTGGGATTCCCATATCGGTCATTCCACGATGATCCATTAAATCATGTAACCGGTTTAGCATGGACTAATTATCGAACCAGAAGAAAATGAGAATTCCTCTAAGGCTCTAACATTAAAGGTGTATATCATAATGAAATAGAAATAGATTGGGAACGAGGTAAAAAAAAAAAAGTTGTTAAGGCTGCGTAAATTAGATTTTGATCACTAAATCTCTAAAAAAAAAAAAATACAAATTTTAAAGACGACACGTCATTTTTGTGTACGTGGTAATAAAAGATTTTTTTTTTATATAACTTAGTAAATCTTAGGTCAATGGCCCAGACTAATCTCTGAGGTATGGGAATGGTGTAGCCCATGTATATATCCTCTCTCCGGAATTCGGTTATGCAAATGGGCCGAAAGCAAGGATCCATATTCATGTATGTGTCCAAAACAATGTGATTTAGTTTCATGCAGCAGGTGGATTGAACCTGGAATGTGTTGGCAACCCAGTCCCATCTCTTTACCACTCGACCACAGTGTCCCGGACGTGGCAATGACACGTTGAATATTGTTAAAATTGTTGTGTATTTTCTAATTTGTCTTGTCTATACTTAAAATCTTAACTCATATGAGTCTAACCAGGAATGAGGGTAAGCATGTTTATGGATTTTTTTTTTACATTGTAGTATATAATAATTATGAAGATAAAAATAATGGTTTTGTAAGGTCCTAAAACGCGTCTTCGGGGCAGTATTCCCTCGCCCAACAGAATTATGCCATTTCTCTCCGTTTGTTTTTCGAATAAATTTTCAAGCAGTGATGCATATCAACAGCTTTCCTTCAATGATATTGGGTTGAGTATCTTTTAAAGAAGTTTCGCAGTTGTTTTGGTTTTACTCTTTCTTGTTGGTGGTCGTCTTCTTCCGAGTTATTTGTTTGTCTTCTGTTTTGGGCTTAGCATCGCCATTGTCTCTCGTTGCAGTGGTTTCTAAATGTCGATGGTAAGGTGGTAATCCGTTGTTGAATTAAGAAGGGCGTGTGGTATGTTTTTTTGGTCAGATTATCCATTGGGTTGACTTTTCGGGGTTTGGTTTGATTAGTTGCTTAGCTCTAGTTTGTATTGTAATTTTGATTTCGTATGCTCCTCTTGTTTGAGCTTTGCTCCCCTCTTTTGGGTTCCGCTCTTCACTTTTGGGCTTGTCGTATCTTCTTTTATAATATATATTCGATGAATGATAAAACCAAAATTTTTAGATGACAAAAAAAAAAAAAAGTAAGATCCTAAAACGCGTCTGCGTAACGGTGGGATATTGGTGTGGGGTTCATAGGTTTTATAAGGGTGTTTCCCAAATTCAAACCCCACATGCAACCCATATCTAAACTTACAGAAAGAAGAAAAAATGCACTGAACTAGACATCGTACATGTGATATACAGTTATCAAGTGCATGTCTTCACTCAATTTAAATGTCTCCGTAAGTCCACAGCACCGGTGCCATACCTATCC